GAGGGGACCATGGGTGGTGGAGTGAGCCGACTGGTGCGGCGGCGCAAATGAAGTGAAGACTCTCCAGCAGCCAACCCCAAGACACATGGTCTTCTTTTGCCGCAGTTATCACGCGATTAGCCTTAGGAGGTCACGTAGCTCCTCCCTCGCGTTGATTGCTGGCTTGATGCGATGGATTTCCTTCGCCTCCATGATCTTCCTCTCTAGCGGTCGTACTAAATATTTGTGCAGAACACTCACATCAAATGGTGGAGGGTCCTCGTTCTCATGTTTGAGGGTACGATGCCTGGAGAATGCGCTGCGTGGGTAGGCGGCGGGATTGGACAACGCTTTCCTGTGTTCCTCCAGGCGGTAACTCAGCGGTCTTGCACTTAACGTGTTGGGAGACACTTTTTCTTCAGAACACTTCTGGCATAAGAAAAAGGCCCTTCCAACATTTGTTGCATTCCAGGAGTGCTCATCCGATTTATATGAAGGCGAATGTCGCACGAAATCTTATTAGAACAAAAGAGAAGCTTGGAACGCGAAGGGACCCGATCGTAGACAACAAGGTCAAAAGTGTCCTCGAAAGAAACGGATATTTCGAAGGAAATTTCAAAACATGGCCTCCACATAGATCGCCAGATGGAGTGACTCTCACAATGCCTTTTGTCAACGATATTGTCACGAGAAGTGAATCGCGTTGCGAAGAGTTCTCAGCTTCCCATCCGACTCGTCTTCCGCCCTCCTCCCACCCTTGAAGACCTCCTTACCTCGTCCCGGATCTACGAACGTCGGTGCACGAGCATTCTTGTCGATACTGTTTATCCGAGGAGATCTGTGAAGCTCCAAGCAACTGTGTATTTATCCGATGTAGAGGTTGTGGAGAAGAGTACGTGGGAGAGACTGCAAGACCGCTGAAGTATCGTCTGGACGAACACAGAAGAGCGTTGCCCAATCCCGCGCCTACCCACGCTGCGCATTCTCCAGACATCGCGCACTCAAAGATGGGAACGAGGATCTTTCACCATTCGATGTGAGTGTTCTGCACAAATATTTAGTACGACCGCTAGAGAGGAAGATCATGGAGGCGAAGGAAATCCATCGCATCAAGCCAGCAATCAACGCGAGGGAGGAGCTACGTGACCTCCTAAGGCTAATCGCGTGATAACTGCGACAAAAGAAGACCCATGTGCCTTGGGGTTGGCTGCTGGAGAGTCTTCACTTCATTTGCGCCGCCGCACCAGCCGGCTCACTCCACCACCCATGGTCCCCTCCCTCCCCGCCCGTGGTAGTATTGATGCTGATGTTATATTTTTGTTGTAGCTGTAGGTCACTTAAAGACACATAGACACAGGACCGTGAAACACGCTAATTCCTCCATGCTCCGCCTTACACCTTTTTGCGGCGCAGATTCCCGTCCTTCATAACATCCGTTGCAAGCGCGCGTGTCGCGTGCGGCTCCTTGGCACTTTGCCAAGTTAATTGCGCTCTCAAATACAAGTAAAACGCAATTTCCTGATGCGGATAACATTGGAGGTGCTGCAAAATAAGAACAGAAGATGATGACGAGGGTCAGAACTTAAAAGCAACTGTGCCACTTCTGCAACATCCCTCGGAGGCCGCGTATTTCCACGAAACATGAAAATAAAACGGCATACTCGTTAGTTTGATACAAGCAAAACGCAATTTCCTGATGCGAATAAAATTTTAGGTGTTGCTCATGCTTCAAAATCCATGTACAAGGAGATGAAGATGACACAGGCTAGAAATGAAGCACAACGATGTAAATGTAAATAAAACAAAAATGAAAAAATCAAGGAAAGGCAAATTAGTTGAAATCGCCTGTAAATTTCTACGATCCGGCGCGAATCCGGCGCCAAAGCCATAGAAATACTTAGAATAAACGAGTGGGACGCTTGGATTGTTTTTATTCTCATGTTTTCTGGGAATGCGCGGCCTCTGATGGATTCTGCGGATGCAGCCGAGTTGCTCTTGAGTTCTGGCCCTTGTCATCATCTTCTGTTCTTATTTTGTAGCACCTCCAATGTTATCCGCATCAGGAAATTGCGTTTTACTCGTATTTGAGAGCGCAATTAAAGGACTTGGCAAAGTGCCAAGGAGCCGCACGCGACACGCGCGCTTGCAACGGATGTTATGAAGGACGGGAATCTGCGCCGCAAAAGGTGTAAGGCGGAGCATGGAGGAACTAGCGTGTTTCACGGTCCTGTATCTCCATTCCTGGGCATGTTTGGGCGGGGGGACCACGACACGTACCACGAGCGGGGGGACCACGACAAGTATTGTATTTCGAAGTTCTAATGACGGTGTTAACGCCGAAAGCTTACCAATAAAGTTTTGATACAAGAGCTTCAAAAGCATCTATTCATTTTGATGAAGCTCAGAGATGCAAAAAAACTTGGCTTCAGTTTCTTATAACACGAGATTGTATTCCACAATTGCTGCGTGGATCTGCTGGACGTGATAATAGGCACGCAGACGGAACAAGCAGTGTGTTGCAATAATTCGAGGAGCAGAATTTACGAATGACGCCCCGTGAAATTATTGCAACACACTGCTTGTTCCGTCTGCGTGCCCATTAACACGTCCAAGAGATCCATGCAGCAGCTGTGGAATACAACTTCGTAATTAGGAGACGAACTGGCTTCGAAGGTTGCGGAGGAGAGTCTACAAAAGACAGTGAGTAGTAAGCAGAACATCGTTTGGACCGCTAATTTACCGGTGGCCAGTTCGAGTTTGATCCACAGTGGTATTAATTTCCATACCTGTTAAAAGGCAGAGGTCACAAGCGTAGCCATGTATAATAAAGTTTACTCTAGCTTCGAAGTTCCTTTGAACCTGTTTAGAAGAGGCCACATACATCCAGAGCACTTCCCGGAACGCCGAAAGCGACATCAGATAAGCACAAGAATGTTGAGGAAATCCAGCATTTTTGCATTGAGCTTATGCCGCGTTCAGCCAGTTTCTTTGAACACATCGTCCAACTCCTCTCGTAGTAGAGTTCAAATGCTTCGGATGAGGAGGTCCAGATGAAGCGCATCGTCGTGCTGCTATTGCATGAGTGCTCCAGCGCTAAAGACAGAAAGCCGGTCATAGACGGAAGTCAATCGGAGCCGGCCTCCGGGTTTATGAAGAGTACGGAAGAACGGGAGGGGACCAGGCATTGTGACAGTTTACCTAGAGTCAATAAATAAGAAGGTTTACAGTGCGGTCACAATATAGCAACATTGTTTTACAACGGATAATAACCCAACTGGTATTCTCGCTTTCTTCTATGCTCTGCCATCCCAAACCATAGCGCACACCATCTGATAATCTCCTGTTCTCCTTGGTTTTCAAAGGAAATGCGCCGTTCGGTACCCATTTATAGTCGTGTTCCAATCTGTCCTCCCTTTTGCACCATGTAGTGTGGTGTAGGAGCTAGAAAAAACGAATTGCGGATCCTCTGCAGAACCAGAACCAGTAACATTGAAGTTTCCGAAAAATAGCATAGTACACTAGCTAGCCGCAATTAAAAACGAGCACCAAAATTTCAAAGAAAACAAGCCTCGACATAGGTGATGATTCTCTACGCACCGAGCTTCATTTAGCATTCATTCGAGTAGTTAGAGCTAGAATCACCTTCATTGAGCCGCTCATACTACGCGATAAAAAGCTCGTCAAAACATTATGCGGCCGAACTATGGCACAGCTGTGAAGTTGTATTGAGTTTCGATCACATGGAAGTCATAAGTTCAGTGATCTCGACGTTTTCTTCTTCAATCAAAACTTCGCACCAACCACAGCCTAGGTCCAGTGGGGTTGGCGCGCATCGCTTTTAACGTGTGCTTGCCGTAGTGAGGACAGGCGTTAAGTCCCTTTCCATGATGATTTGATCAGCGCATATATAGTTTGTAACATAGCAGTCAGTCGCGGACGGCGTGAGGATGGCGGGATGACATCGCCCCTGGCCGCCTCGCTTTCCTAATGGTGGTGAACGATTTGAGAGGAAAACATCCAGTGGTGGACGCGTGGCACGTGGAGGACACCGGTTGCAACCCGACTGATTGCGGTAGTATCAAACTGTATATCTAGAATGCGTTAACGTCGCGAAGCGTTCCGTATATGTCAGCTCAGTGAAATGTAGCATAAGCGTAGAAGTTCGTGCTGAAAACACTGTTTACAATGCGCACGAATTCAAAGACAACTCGTTGCAGCCATAGTTATCCCTGAGGCTCTGATTAGAAGCTGAAACATTTGAATGCAAGCTTTTAATGCCTCTGCACAGAACACTAGGCAATGTGTCTTATGACTTGATTTTGTATTCCAATATAAATTGTTGCTGGCCGGCTCTGTTGAACATGATGATGGGCACGCGATTTGAGGCCGAAACAAGCACTGCGTCGCGATAGGTTGGTGAGCAGAATCTACAAAAGAGAACTAGTGAGTAGGAGGCAAACCATAGTTTCGACCGCTAATCTACCGGTATCCAGTTCGAGTTTGATCCTCAGTGGTCTTGATTTCCACGCCTCCTAGAATGCAGCCGTCATGAGCGTAGCCGTGTGAAATAGATTTGACCGTAATTTCAATCTTCTTTCCTTCATCAGCCTGGAAAAGTCCTAAATCCAACTCATAAACATGTTGCAACTGCCTTTCATCGCATACCTCAATCCAGTAGTTGCAGAACTCGAACTCGTCCCTCACACACCACCAAAACCAAGTCTTTTGACGATGATCTGCTTGCGCTCTGTCGCTTTCAATGTATCTCCGCATCCGGGCGGCTGCAAAATGCAGCGTCAGTGACGGTTTTCGCCTTGACACTTTCCTAACTTACTCGCTTGTCGCAAAGTGCGCCACCATAGCCGCTTGGACAAATACATTCGGAGCAGTTTCGTGGATGAGGGAATCCTCCATTTTGGCACTTCGCTGAGGTCTCATTCGGGCACTTTGCTGAACAAAAATGATGTCAAGCCAGTTTCACATAGTATAATAGACATAAAACAGTCCCCCTACCTTTGCAATTATAGTGATCGTTTAATCATAGACTTATCAATGAACGAAATGATCTGCGAGCCCATCGACTCCTGGTACCTTGTATCATTGGCTACCATTGTGGGTTTCTTGTTGTGAGAGGCGCTGAATCATTGGGTATTGTGTCACCCTAGTTCACAGAATGCTGCGATTTATATTCACCTGGCTGCTCCGTAATGCATAATGCTACCATAATCATAGGTGAATCCATAGTTGGTAGTGGTTTCATTTGTCTCTTTCACGTATTGATCCACGAAACCTTCCTCGAAGACGGTAAAATTTTTTTGCGCTTTTTTTTGAAGTGAAGTGTATATATGTGACTCACCACAACATTATCAAGAACGACTGTAATAAATTCATCACGATCGTAACGTGACATGGTGTGGAAGAGCCCAAGCGCGTGACCGAGTTCATGTGTAGCGATTCCAACCTTAATTTTGCGACACGGTTGACGAAAAAGAGTAGTTAGGTGGGTTCCTATCAGTTCTACAGGTCTGTCGAGTGAAAACTTCACAAGCTCGTCTAATTTTACCTGTTCGCAGCCTTCACCAAGTGAGAGAGGTTGCTCACCACCGACTCGTCCTACATATGACCAGCAGCCATCCTCACTGATTAAAACAATGCTGTTTTCAGCTGGAATGGCATCAGATGATTATGTCATCAGCCATCGGTTGTTTTATGATGGGTGAACCTTTTTTGTCTTTATCTTCAGTGAAGTTCAAGCAGGTTACGTCTTCCCATTGTTTCGCACCCATTTGGAATATTCTCCTTACATAAGGGTCTAGAACAGTTTTGTTCGGTAAAGACTATGTACTGATTTAATACCAATGAGTTCTTCCAACGTCAAAAAATCCGAAACTGACCTACACTGTCGTCGAAGCGGTAGAAGACTCCTTGTTGCCACGTGGTGTTAGGATATGCTTGATCCTTGAACGCTTGTCTTTTGGCTCGACCGGACGTTCCTTCGACACTTTCCATCACTTCTTCTTGTTGTCTCCTGTACATGGCTACTTTGAAAAATGTGATGTTTCATATATAGCGAGCTTTCATCTAACTTTGTCAGCAGGATGTCACTCTGGAAAAGAACTTTGCCGACGTTCTTTCTCTGAATTGATTCTCGAATATCGTGCCTTTCGTGTCTTCAAGCGGTATCGTCTCGGCTCCCTTCAATTTCCTGAAATAATGATGCTATTAGTGAGCTACAATTCCATTGATCCCAATCATGTATGTGCCTCTTACCTTGAGCTTGCGATCAATTTCTGCTTTCTTTTCATTCGATAGTTGAAGCTTTTTCATCATCTTACTTCTCAAGCTCAGTCAATTTGCTGCCAAGTGAAAGAATGCCAGTCTTTTCAAAGAGCTTGAAAGTGCTGTGGTGCTTATTATGAATTTACAAGGATTCTGTTAGCGCATACCTTTTTGAACTTTGAGAATGTCGCGGCTTTGATTTTTTCGCCAAGATTTCCTCCTTTGAAGAATTCTTTGACTTTGCCGAGATCGAGCGATTGGGTTGCCACAACTAGGAAGAGTAGAAGCAGTGTGAGCCTCATCCCTAAATGTCCAGTAATTTTCTATCCGAAGTGGATATGAAAAACATTGAAAAGTGTAATTTCCTAAGAGGAGAACATCTGTGAAGAGCCTAGGGAGATGAGGGGAGAACCATCCCACAGTTTTATATACCAACACGCTATGTTGAACGGGGAGTTTGAACAACTGTACTGAACCATAACTATGTACAGAAGCAAGACTCGGCATCCAGTGTGACTGGTTGACACACGTTTGTGCACCTGTTTTCTATGACCTGATGAAGGTGGTGCTGCTCACGAAAACCGTCAATGGCATACTGTGTCAGTTACCATTTCCATAAGTTCATGCATCGCAAAGAACATCCAGTTGGTGCTTATAAAGGAAGTTCGGTTAATCAAGGGAGGGCATCTACACATGGGAGCTCTACCAGAAAACACAGTAACCATACCTTTATTACCTCGGGATACCAGACAGATTTTAACGCGAAGTTGCCGAAGTTTGGTATGTTTGGTCTAGCTTTTGCAGGTTTTGTATTTTGTAATCAATAATTGCAGTGAGCTGAAATCTGTCTGGTATCCCGAAGTAATAAAAGGTCTATGGTACTGTGTTTTTGGTAGAGCTCCCATGTGTAGATGCCTCCCTTGATTAACCGAACTTCCTTTATAAGCACCAACTGGATGTTCTTTGCGATGCATGAACTTATGGAAATGGTAACTGACACAGTATGCCATTGACGGTTTTTCGTGAGCAGCACCACCTTCATGGGTCATTAGAAACAAGCTGCAGTTTAAACGGTGGGGAGGACGCCATGTGCACCAGTCACACTGGATGCCGAGTCTTGCTTCTGTACATAGTTATGGTTCAGTACAGTTGTTCAAACTCCCCGTTCAACATAGCGTGTTGGTATATAAAACTGTGGGATGGTTCTCCCCTCATCTCCCTAGGCTCTTCACAAGTGTTCTCCTCTAAGGGAATTACACTTTTCAATGTTTTTCATATCCACTTCGGAAGAATTTATGGACATTTAGTGATAGGCTACTCTGCTTCTTACCTCTTTCCTAGTTTGTGGAAACCCAATCGCTCGATCTCGGCAAAATCAATGAATTTTTCAAAGGAGGGAATCTTGCGAAAAAATCAAAGCCGCGACATTCTCAAAGTTCAAAAAGGTATGCGCTAACAGAATCCTTGTAAATTCATAATAAGCACCACAAGCACTTTCAAGCTCTTTTAGAAAATTGAACTGGCATTCTTTCACTTGGCAGCAAATTGACTGAGCTGAGAAGTAAGATGATGAAGAAGCTTCAACTATCAAGAGAAAAGAAAGCGGAACTTGATCGCAAACTCAAGGCTAACGAAGGCACATACATGCATTGGATCAATGGATTGTAGCTTCACTAATAGTATCATATATTATCTAGGATAATTGAAGAGGAGCCTGAGACGATACCTCGCTTGGAGACACGAAAGGCACGATATTCGAGATCAATTCAGAGAAGAACGTCGGCAAAGTCCTTTTTCAGAGTGACATCCTGCTGACAAAGTTAGATGAAAGCTCGCTATATATGAAACATCACATTTTTCAAAGTAGCCATGTACAGGAGACAACAAGAAGAAGTGATGGAAAGTGTCGAAGGAAAGTCCGGTCGAGCCAAAAGACAAGCGTTCATTAAGCCGACAAGCGTATCCTAAACCACGCTGGCAACAAGGGAGTTTATCCTACCGCTTTACTACGACAGTGATAGGTCAGCAGTTCGCCGCATTTTTGACGTTGGAAGAACTCATTGGTATTAAATCAGTACATAGTCTTTACCGAACAAAACTGTTCTAGACCCTTATGTAAGGAGAATATTCCAAATGGGTGCGAAACAATGGGAAGACGTAACCTGCCTGAACTTCACTGAAGATAAAGACAAAAAAGGTTCACCCATCATAAAACAACCGATGGCTGATGACATAATCATCTGATGCCATTCCAGCTGAAAACAGTATTGTTTTAATCAGTGAGGATGGCTGCTGGTCATATGTAGGACGAGTCGGTTGT